GCTGGACTCTCTCCGGTAGCTCTTCATCTTTCTTGAAATGGAGAGCCCAGAACTGGACACAGTACTCCAGATGAGGCCTCCCTAGGGCAGTATAGAGGGGAAGGACAACCCCACTCGACCTGCTGGCCACACTCCTCCTAATGCATCCCAGGATCCCATTAGCTTTCTTGGCAGCCAGGGCACACTGCTGGCTCATGGTTAACCTGTTGTCCACCAGGACACCCAGGTCCCTCTCCGCAGAGCTGCTCTCCAGCAGGTCCACCCCAAGTCTGTACTGATGCATGGGGTTGTTCCTGCCCAGGTGCAGGACCCTGCACTTGCCCTTACTGAACATCATCAGGTTCTTCTCTGCCCAACTTTCCAGCCTATCCAGGTCTCGCTGAATGGCAGCACAGCCTCTCCCATTGACAAAATACAATGCTGTGCTGTCTGCTGCTCTTTCAGACATAGTCCCTTGATGTGGCAGTGAACAAGATGTGCATCCTTCTATGAAGCAGAAACTTTTATGTGTATTGGTTTGATCAAAGTTACATAATTACTGCTTTTGTTGGGCATTAATCGTTCATGAATAGAGGCCTTTCAAGGAAAGAAAAATGTGAATCATGTTATGGCACAAAGGCAAATCTTTTTAATAGTCAAAGTAGCAGTCTAAGAATAGTGGTGGTGTTTGTTCCCACCAAATGGCCTCTTCTGAACTGTTATGCAAGTGTAGGTTTTGCTTGGTGTGCAGCCTGAATTATTTAGGAACATCTCTGTCTTGTCTTTTCTAAGAATAAGCAGTCATTCTAGCATATGCTGTTCTGAGAACTGTAACGAGGGTAGTTTTGTGTACTTCAACCCTTTCTTGAGTAATTCCCACTCCTGAAATGTTTTTGTTCAAGTGCTGGAATAGTTCTGAACATGAAACTTCTGGTGTTCTTCGCTTCCACTGATACAGTTTCTTGCTTCTTTCATGGGTAGGAGGTAAAACCTGAAAACAGGCACCAAAATGTTATCTTCAAACCGGTGGAATACACCTTGTCAAGGGAAGATACTCGCTTCCTGATAGCCTGCTTTCCCTTCCCAGTGATTTTCTTTATTCACTCCTTCCATGTTTTTTTGGTAATTTCTTATTTTGACTCGGTTCTGCCATTTTTTTAATCCATCCAGCAAGATAGTCTGGTCAGCATGAGAAAGTTTCAGAGATGTTCTAAATTTATGTATATACAGTATCTATCACAATTTGGCGCTGTCCTTGTGAACCCTTCTCTCTCCTGCGAGCCCTGTTCATTGAATTTAAGTAATTTCACTCTGTGCACGTAGATTTTCAGACAGAAATTTTTCTTTCATCATCACTTTCATTTCTCTCTGGATTCCCTCTGGTGAACACACCTCTTGCATTGACTGTTAAGCAGAACTTAAGAAATACATTTGTACTTAGAATCTGCATTTTAATCAACCATTAGCCTGCATTGTGATGCCTTGGCATGCGTGTACAATCACCTAGAATTTGTGACATTTTTTCCAGAAGATGCACGCTGTTTCAAACTTCTGAAGCAGTTTGAATGTTTAGTTAGATTGGAAATGTCTCAAGAGGATTGCGATGGATGGCTATAGGCTGTTTTCATAAAGAGAGGCAGGGAAGAAGAGGAGTCGTACTCTATGTTAAGGAGAACCTTGAATGTATAGAACTCAGCTACAGTGATTGTGGAAGCCCTATTGAATGCCTCTGGGTCAAGATCAGAGGTGTCGTGTCCAAAGGGGATATTATAATAGGCATCTGCTATCGACCTCCAAACCAAGATGACAAGACCAATGGAAGCAGTGTTTGGGTTACTTAAGCAAGCTTTGGGTCATCAGAACCTGGTTCTAATGGGTGACTTCAACTACCCAGACACTTGTTGGAAGAACAGTACAGCAGCTCACATGTCATCCATCACGTTGCTGGAATACATCAAGGACTGCTATCTCATACAAATGTCAGATGTGCCAGCCAGGAATGAGGCACTGCTGGATATGCTACTCACAAACCAAGATATCCTACTTTGCAATATCTTGGTTAATGGTAGCCTTGGCTGCAGTGTTCACAATGTTGTGGAGTTCAGGATCCTGCTGAGCACACTGAAGGTTAGTACTAAGACAAAGGTTTTGGATTTTAGAAGAGCAAACTTCAGCTCTCACAGAGCTTAGTTGGGAGGGACTCTGTGGGAGGCTTCCATGGAGGGTGAAGGAGCTCGTGAGCGCTGGGAATTTTTCAATAACACTCTCTGGAAGCACAAGAACAGTTCATGTGCTTTAAGGGTAAGGGAAGTAGATGGAGCGAGAGACCCCCTTAGCTTAGCTGCGAGCTTCCGACTCTGCACAAAACCAAAAGAGAAGCATACCAGAGATGGGAAAGTTGACAAATACCTATTGAGAGCTACAAGGGCATTGCCAGGGCATGCACACACATGTAGTTAGAAAAGTAAAAGCTCAGTGCGAATTGAAATTGGCCAGAGATGTCAAAAACTGCAAGAAGGAGTTATTCAGATATGTAAACAAGCAGAAACAGAAGGAAAATGTTATCCCAGTGTTAAAGAGGAGAGGTGAATTAGTCGCCAACAAAGCTGAAAAGGCAGAGGTTATCAACACTTCCTTCACCTCTGTCTTTACCAGTGCTGTTGGGCCCCAGGTCTTGGGAGCAAAAATCCAGGTAGATGCAAACAGAGGCCCACTATCAGTGAAGGAAGACTTGGTATGTGAACTATTCCAGGAGCTTGACCCTGTCTAATTTATGGGCCCTGACAGTATCCACTTGAGGATGTTAAGAGAGCTGGCTGTTTGAGGCCACTTACCACAATCTCTGACAAGTTTCAGAGATTGGGGGACATCCCAGAAGACTGGAAGAAGGCAAATGTCACCTCTATCTACAAGAAGGGCTTAAAGGAGGATCCAGGAGATTACAGGCCCATCAGTCTTACTTAAGTCCCTGGGAAAGCTATGGAATGAATTCTCCTGGGTGCTATCACAAGTCAAATGAAGCACGTGATTGGGAAGAGCCAGCAAGGATTCATCAAGGGCCAATCATGCTTGACAAACCTGATCTCCTTCTATGACAAAGTAACCTGCTCAGTTGGTGTGGGGTAAGTGGTGGACATTGTCTACGTGGATTTCTCCAAGGCTTTTGATACAGTTTTCCACAGCCACCTCCTAGAGAAACTGATGCGTTAAGGTCTAGACAAGTAGTCTGTGTGGTGGGTGGGGAACTGGCTGACAGGTCACACCCAGAGGGTGGTGGTAAGTGCTCGCTTTTCAAACTGGCAACCTGTCACAAGTGGGGTCCTGCAGGAATCAATATTGGGCCCAACATTGTTTAGTATCTTCATGAGTGATGTCGATGATGGGATCAAGCTTACCCTGATGAAGTTTGCCAATGATACCAAACTACGTGGGGAAGTGGACACTGTGGGAGAGAGAGCCACCCTGCAGAAAGACCTAGATAGGCTGGAGGAGTGGGCTAACAAGAACCTTATGAAGTGCAACATGGAGAAGTGTAAGGTCTTGCAGCTGGGAAAACATAATACAGGAGTGCAGGACAGGCTGGGATCTACCTGGCAGTGGAGCATCTCTGTGGAAAGGGACCTGGGGGTCCTGGTGGACATCAAGCTCAAGAGGAGTGAACAGTATGCTGCGGCGGCAAAGAAAGCCAACAGGATGCTGGGTTGCATCAAACAAGGGCATCACCAGAGGAGATAAGGAAGTCATTATCCCACCCTGCTGAGCACTTGTCAGGCTATGCCTGGAGTACTGTCTTCAATTTTGGTCCCTGCTGTGCAAAAAAATGTGGACAGGCTGGAGAGCATGCAGAGAAGCATCGCAAAAATGGTCCAAGGACTTGGAACCCTGCCATATGAGGAAAGACTGAGAGAACTGGGTTTATTCAGTCTTGAGAAAAGAAGGCTTAGGGGAGACCTTAGCACTGTGTTCCAGTATTTAAAACGTGGCTACGAAGAAGATGGAGACTCCATTTTTACAGGGATTCACATGGAAAAAACAAGGGTAATGGGTACAAGTTACTCCTGGGGAGATTCCAATTGGGCACAGGAGGAAAAGTTTTCACAATCAGAACGATCAGCCATAGGAATAATCTCCCCAGGGAAGTGGTAGATTCACCAACTTTAGACACTTTTATGATTCAGCTCGACAGGATCCTGGGCCATCTTGTCTAGACCATGCTTTTGCCAAGAAATGTTGGACCAGATGATCCTTGAGGTCCTGTCCAACCTGGTATTCTGTGATTCTATGAGAAGTTAGAACCCAATATCTAAATTACTTCGGCAATTTGAAAAGTCTCGATACAACCAGAGAATTGATGTTTTGTGGCTTTTACTACAATGTAGTGTTTCTTTTAAATCTTTTAATTGAAAAGTAATCATCTCTCTGAGGTCTAGGAGGTAAAGACGACATGGCATTGTTATTATGAAATAGATGAAGAGTTTGGCATATAATGTTACTGGTAAAGAACAGAAATCTATTTTTAGCAAACTCATGCTTGAATTCCTATTTTCTATGCAGACTGCATCCTCAGCTATTAAAGGTGCTATCCAGCTGGGAATAGGATACACAGTAGGAAACCTTACATCAAAACCAGACAGAGATGTTCTTATGCAAGACTTCTATGTAGTGGAAAGTGTCTTCCTACCAAGGTAAGGATAAGCCTATTCAATTTATTTTCAATAGAATTTTGTGCTGAAACTGTAAGTAGATATTTCAAAGATTGCTTTCCAATTCTGAAGAATTGGGGTTAGAGTAAGTTTCATGTGTGAGAACTTGAAAATTATCCTGTCTTCATGTTGTCATTGAAAATGAAGGTAGGGTGAAAACTGGGACGATCCCACTTCAACTGAAGATTTGCAACTTGTCACTTCTAGAGAAGGAAAGTAATTGTGACACTTTCAATTAAAGGAGCTGTTAATTACAATTGGAAATGATTTGTGGATCTGTATGCAATTAAAAATTATGTCCAACGTTCACATGTTTGTTTAGTTTCTAAAAACTGGGAATAATAATTGCCATTTTGTTGAGGTGGTGTCAAAATTTATGAAAATTCAAGTCCTGCAGTGCTAAGAGTAATGTAAGAATTTCCACTACACTATAAACTTTTATCCAGGACTTAAGCGTGTGACGAGGCTTAGCTCTTACTAGCTGACTACAGGTTGTGCACTACTTTGCATTTGGCCACCTCAGCTTCTATCACTGCCAAGGTGATGGTATAGAATTTGTAATAATACGGTTATGCTGGTGAGCGAAATCAAGGTCATACTGATTTTGGGGGTTCAGAACCTGAAGTACAGTGCCATGTAACTTTTCCAACTTACCGTGGCTAGTAATGGACAAAGAAGGTTTAGGAAAAATGTATTTCAAAACCAGAATGACTTGCTCTGTTGTGTTGTCTGGGTTCTTAGAATTGCTAACTACGGGTAGTGCCCATGATTTGCATAAGGATGTGTGTGCAGTATTCCCTGAATTTCAGAATGCTTTCAGTCAGTTTTTCAAAGTTTTGTTCATATGCAGTTTGAATGCTACCTCATGAACTGTTTCTAGTACTTTACAATCCTTAAAAATCACTGATGTTAGTAAAACAAAGTGAAACTGACAATGTACAAAATAGTTGCAGGCAGGTTAAGGTTGATCTCTCCTCAACTGTGCTTAATTCAACTCCTGTTTTGCTCTGAACTGAGATACTTTTTCTTCTCCTTAAAGGGTATTTCTTACGTGAAATGAAGCTTTTACATTATGTTCTTCAGTTCCTAGTAACGGAGGGTATTCATATCCTTGTTCTGGTGTTACCTGTGAGGTTTTGTGTACAGTTTTGTAGTCTTTCTCTTGTAGATAAGGCAAATATAGAAAAGTTAACTATGTGCGTGTGTTTTCATACACTGTTATCACAAAATTTTGTTTGTTTGAAGTCTGAATTACAGCTGAGAAATTTGCAGATCATGTAACAAAGTATTTATTGGTCTGAAAAATGGTGTGAGAGGAAGTCAGCAATCATATTTGTGAAATGTGTGACTGTGACAGCTATGCAGGCTTCTGTAGTTTGTTTGGGTGTGATACCAGCTTTCTTGGTCATGGAAATCACGGAAATCAGATGCAGCGTACATGCTAGAACTGTTTTATTACATAGCACAGTCCTGGAAAAAAAAAATCTAATCTCTCTCTTTTTTGACATACTGTTAAAAGAACAAGTAAAATAAAATGGTTTGTAGTCCATAGCATTGCATATGTCTTCTCTCCTGTGAAACACTCAGAAATTATATTTTCCTGTTTTGTGTTGGTTTTAAGGGAGAGCTGGGAGACAACGCTTCTGGCTTAAAAAGAAAACAAAGGCAGAAGGAATAGCCTGTTCGCTCTAACAGAGTATTAACTTTATAATAAAAGCTTTAGTAGCACCTTTCTGGACAGCTTCCTATAAATAAATAAATAAATTGTATGAGGAAAATTAGACAAATGAAAGTAATGGCCAGAGCAGCATAGCTGTTTGTGGCTTTTTTTGCATAGCTGTCTAGTTAGCAGGAGTATATAACATAGTGAGTCATCTTGGCTGTAACAAAGAGCAGTTGCTGATAACACTCTGTGAAACTAAAAATTGGCTATCCATAGCAATCTCTTAAAACCATGACACTTGATTTCTTATGCTAATACACAGAAATATTAAATTTCAGGTTCTTCCTATGTCTCAGTGTAACATGCACATTCATTTACCTAAAATGATTTCAATCGAAAATGGTATTAGTTTGCATAAATCGTAATAATTCAGGATTGCATATAATGATACGGGCTTCTTTCTTGCTGATTGAGGGTGTTGGGATGTTGAGTCTTTCATGATGGCATTATGTGCATTGCTTCTGAGTCATATCCTTAGGTAGCTTTGTTACCCTTGTTGGAGGTAAAAAGCTAAGGCTGCATGTTCTTTCTGGGTAGGACTGCGCTCCAAAGGTGCACCTTAGGTGCTACTCACTTTTTCCTAGGATGTGAAGGCAGTATTTTTAATAGTCAGTACTGTAATGACTCCCCCACTCCGGACTGACCTGGGCTGAAGGCAATTGGTTGAAATTAGTTACACCAGCAGGTCCAATGGGCTGACCTCTACCTGGAACCAAACCGGGAGCAAGCGGAGCTTAAGTAAGCTTTTTGCCAGATGTCCGCAGCTGGAGGAGAACCTGACAGTGCAGCAAGTGTGGTTGCTGAAAGCAAGGAGCATCATTTTTCCACTTGCCTCAGATACGTGTAATTCAGCTGCAGCTCCAAGCAGGCTATTAGCTGAACTTCCCTTTCATTGTGGCCAATACACGGTAACGTGCCTCTTCACAAGCTGTCCTGCTCCACCTTCCTCCCATGTTTTGCCTGCATCCACTTCGCCTCACCTGGGTCTGGCGGCGAGGTGAGAGCACAGCTCTTTTGCAGAGTCACAGGCACACCTGCTGCTTTGACAGCAACAGGAGCACTGTTAGGGTGGCGGTGATAAAATAGACCTGAGCTAGTAGAAATGCAGTGAAGTGGCAGCCTGCGCGCCAGCAAGCGAAATAGTATTAATAGTATTATCTGTGCCCTTTTACTGTTAGGGGAAAACAGTCAATAGTTACTTGTACATTTTGTCAGTTTCTGAAGGTAACTAGGCTCTGCGTATCTGTCAGCCCCTGAAGTAAACCTCAGCACTGCCTGTACCTCAGCTTCGGTAACCATAGCAAAACACTTTCAGCCGTGTTCAGGATTCGTGAAGGAGGGAGAAAATTGCCAGGGAAAAGAAGTCATCAGTTGAGACCTGAACAGAACCACCCTGCTTATTGTGGGAGCTACTCATATAAATCAAGAATAACTCTGTGGATTGCAGGTTATGCTTGGTCCAGAGTTACTTTGTAGCTGGGTTAAATTGGTCAGCATTTAGCCCAGGTTCATTTAGGTGTTTATTTCAGGAAGTGACTTTCAGTGAAGTACAGATATCTCTGTACAGTGGGTGGATTTGAATTGCAGAAGTGCTTGCTTTTGTTTGTACATTGTATTGGTGGAGGGCGAAAAGTGCTTTTGTTGCTTTCTGCTTCACATTGTGGCATCCTCTTCATCTCTTTCTCTTCAGACTGCCCAAGAGTTTGTCACATGTTGCTTTTGGGAACTAAGTGAGGTATTATTTGGGGTTGCTATAAAGGAGTTCATTGAGAACCACCACCAGATTGAGTTTAAATGGCACTATGCAAATGTGCTCCATGAACTGAGAAACAAATTCAGTCTGCAGTGACCCAGCTGATTCTGAAGATACAATGTCTGAAGTCTCTGCCGAGCTCCCCGAATAGGGTGAAACCACAGGGGGAACTACTCCAAGTAACCTGTCTTCTGGCTTTTACACACTACTTTGGAAATCCAGCAGCAGAGTTGCCTCCCTGGTGCTGGTACTGCTGGAGTATTCAGTGGGAAGGTTGTGGATCCTGCCTGTGCTCGCTGCTCTGTGTCCTGTGACCCAGCTGTGTGGGGCATATTCTCCCCTTCCTGCATTATGCTTTGTGCCCCTGACTTCCTTGGTTGGAACCAGTTCACTTCTTAGTGGCACATTTATTCTCCAGATCATTCATTTGTGCTACAGCAATGTTTGGATTTGAGTGTGGAGCTGGCTCAAAGTAGTGTGACCATGGTTAGAAAGGCTTGTTGCTGAGCTAAGAAGCTGCTGCTAGTAAGCCTGTCCGTGTCAGGCAGGGTGGCTCAGGCTGGTTGCTCCTCCAGCAGGCATGTACTAAGCAGGCATATTTCTGTGGTGGTGGCTGACAAGCCGAACAGAAGCCGCTCCATTCTGTCAGCTAACTTTGGCTAGTCAGTCGCATGCAGCTTCAGAAATGCAGAGCATTTGGAGCAAAGCAGTGTGTTTCAGGCTCCATCTCTCTGTTTTCTTACATGGAGGCTGCTGCCAAGCAGAGCTGCGAGTTTGATCTTTTTGCAGCAAGCTATTAATCAGTCTTGTGTGCTTCTCTTGTTAATATGCTTTTTTTTCAGGGTCTAGACCCTGCATATTTAGAACACTTGCTATGGTTTCTAATTTAACTAGTAAGTCTGTTGGATGCTGTTGACCTGTGTGCACCCTGCAGCTACAGTTATCTGTACGGTGAACTGGTTCAATTACAAATTGCTTTCTTGTTATACTAATGAAAGATTATTCAATGCTTTCTGCTATTTAATGTCAAAAGCTTAATATTGTATTAGGATAGCATTTGGATGATAGCCCAAATAAGTAGTCGAAAGTACTAAGAAAAGTAAAACCTTGGACATATTTTAACCAGTCTGGGTTGTACCCTACTGCTAAAACTGAAGTGTACTGTTTTCTGGTATGTTTTTCAAGAGCGATTTCAAAAAATGAGGAAAAACTGACACTTTCCCTTGGAAATGCCTTTGTACGAAACCTGTATCATAGGTTACTTGATGGGCTAAGTAGAGTTTTGTAATTAAAGAAGTACAGAATGCTCTGCAGGCTCCGTATGAAGAGTACTCAAATGTTTACACTAATGCTTCGCTGTTGTGTAACTTATGCCACTGTATTCGTTTCCACTTGAGCAGTTTCACAAGACATGAGAAAGTGGCCTGAAGCCTTTGGTAAAGCGCTGCTGCTCTTCTTGGTGCTTCGGTTGCAGATGTGCAGGATGACCCAAGTTCTGACACACTT